AAATTTTAGCATGCCGAATAAAAGGTGAGACTAATTTACGCGTCGTTTAGAAAGTTCTAAAAAATTGTCCAAACATACAGAAAGGAAAAATCTGAAACAAAACAAGAATTTTGTATGACGAATGAAATGTAAATCATTTGCGTTAACAGAGTTAAGTGAAACAAATCACAAACTGACAAATTGCAAATCAGATGATGTCGAAAGAAAGATGAGCCCTACTGTGTTTATAGTTCGCCACCTTCTTGTTGAACATTAATCCAAAACTTCAATTCGAAAATCATGTTTCGTGAAGTCCAGCCATTTAATTTTTTCTACACAGTGCTTACAACGAAATGCTGATATATTGCACTTACAATTTGACGCATTAACTCGAAAACGATTGAACCAGGCATTGGTTTTGAGTACTAAGCTTAAAATACCAAGAGAACAGAACACGGATTTCTGGAAATTTGATATTTATGTTACCTCAAAAACAGACAACAACTTGAAAGAAAAACTCCGAATATGAAGCATCGCCGAATCCCGCCCCAATTTTGGCCTTTTCCAAGACAATTAGAGTATAAATATTCGTTCGACGGAAAATGTTTTGCGTAAATTTTGCTAGACTCTATAAATGAAAATTTGCTGTTTGTGATACTTCAAAGCAGATTAATACTGGTAAGAAAAACTTCAAATATGTATCATCACCCAACCCCGAAACAGTTTTGACCTCTTACTAGACAGTTCGAGTATACATTTTCGCGAGAAGTTTCTTGAGTAAATTTTGCTAGACTCGTTATGTAAACCAATGTTCTGTTCTCAGCTACCAAAATTAATTCTAGTAATGCAACTTTAAATTGGCACTAGAGAAACTCTGGAAAGCAAAAATGCTAATATTTTGATTTATTTCGGGTGGAGGGAACAACACTAGAAAATTCAATACTCTCTTTGCGAGCATCTAGTTAATTTTTCAATTCATTTGATTTGCAGTGCCACTTTAAAAACAGCATTGAACTTTGGGTCAAATCAAAACACTACCGGATTTCTGAATCTTTCCTGATTTCGAATCTTTCAGAACACCCCCTTATCTCGACCACTAGAAAATAGAAATAAATATACGTTACGCGAGCCTCCGAGAAAAAACAAACAAAACTCAATAACAAGAATAGTGAAATGTTCCTGTTTGTAAAATTGAGAGTGAATTTGAACGACCCAAAGTTATGATATCGGCTTAATGAATACATATACACTTCGCTTATCTTTGCCACCCTCTTCCAATCCTTGATGATCCATTGATTTAGAGTGTGGAGTCCCTTCTTGTCCTTTGCTTCGATCACCTTCACTCTGTTAATTTAAACAGAGAAGCACAAAGTTAGCTACAGGTTAGAAATTTGTAGCATATAAACTTCCACACTTGCGGTCCGTCGATAAGGGAAAATAACTTTGAAATGTAGATAACAGCTGGCAAAGAAAATTCATTTCAAGGTTCTTGTTTAGCGCTTGACATTGCTCTGTCAGTTCTGGAAATTTATGTCCTAGTCACAAGTATAAAACTGTTCAGAGAATTCGCTACTGAACCCAAGCTGTGGATGTTTTGAAAAGAATTCGAGTTTACGTTTAAGGAAGAAAGGAAAATAACATCCAAAATCTGTTTTTCTACGGATGCACATTTAAACTTAATTAATCTCTCTTTCTTTTGATATTTTTTTTAGGGCAAAGGAAAGTTATCGAGCTTTAGTGAACTCCCAAGGCGCAACCAACCGAAGCCACGTGGAAGCTGTAACGGCATTTGTTTCAAAACCCGTTTCTCCAAGGTTAGAAACTGTTAAATTTAGAGCAAAATGTTAAGAAGTTGCCGATGCTTACCTTTGCTTCAAATTTGATGAAGTTTGATGAAGTATATCTGCGGTTTCTTCGGTCCCTCGCCACAAAATTTGTCATCACAAACTCCAGCACTAAGTGTACGTCTTCACGCGGCCAAGAACTGTTTGAAATGAAACAAACTACAATTTGCATTGTCATGAATATGGATTAAAGATTGGAGCCACTCCCGCACAAATACGTCACAGCTTTTGGTGCAAACTGTATTCTCACGCTTTTTCAAGGTGTTTTTGTTGAATTTGTCACGAGAAAACAATTTTCGAAACATAATATTGTTGGCGAGTCATTTGCACTGTGTTGACACGTTTAGAAGCGGATTGTTTTTGTATGATATCTTCATTTTCAGCATAGCTTGGAAAACTGAGAGCTTTGTTTAACTACTGACCACAAGGCCGTCTTTATGTCGTTTTTAGCTGGGTATCTAATGGAGCGGTTTTCAATTGAGTGTCGTAAAACCAAGACCAAACCAATTTCTTACCAATTAGACACTCAATTGAAAACCACCCGCTCTATGACTGAGCTTACGTAATAAGAAAGTTAAAAGTAATTTCGTGATTTCGACTACAGTTGCAATTAAAAAGCACGAGTAAACGAGGCAATTGCAATTCGTCCCTTTTGCCATACGTTCCGCCCTTTCGTTCTGTTATTTGCAGCCCCCTGCGTTTCCCGAGAGATTCTTGGCTGGTTCCCTCCGAAATTCTCTTTCTATTCGCTTTAGGTTCCCCTTCAACTTGTTACACCGTTGCACCGCTCGTTTCCAGTGCCTTATACCTCAAGGATTTTCCCGCGCGTTTACCGGACCGGTGTTTCTAGTGCTTTCAACTGTGCTTCTCAACTAATTAATAATTCATCAAGTTAAAACAAAGAAAATAACAACCGTGAAGGAGGTTTGGATACCCGGTCTTATAAATTAGCATAGATTTGGACGATTTTAATTCTCCGTTTACTCCTTAGTTTTTGTTTCGATTGAGAAGATATATCAAACACTAGAGACAGTGTTTCATCGGATATTTAAACACTTCGAATTTTGTCCAAAATAGTCCACGGCGCGTTGTATTTATTTTCAGCTCTCTTCTCGGTGTTTGGATATCCCCATGAAACACTGTCTCTCGTGTTTGATATAAAACTTCCCATGCGTTCCACCATTCGACGCCTTGCATGGGTTACTCGTGTCGCGTCACTCTACACAACAGTATACATTTCCCTAGGGATTCCCGGTAGGTTCCTTCCCACATGCCCCATGATACCCTGTGTATTTGCTTTTGCTATACCGTGTATTCGCCATGTTTAACCTCTTGCATTTCAAAGTCCGTTAGCAAAACGTAGTCTATTTAACAAATAAATTCCATGTTCCCGTACGTATGTTCAGTTATAGATCACAGATGACGTCAGAATGTGGTAAGGATGAAAGCGTGGCACACGAGGCGAAAGCCGAGTGTGTCACTGATGTTCTTATCAGCACATTTTGACGTCTTCTGTGATCTGTTACTGAACAGACGCACGGCAACATGGAATCTACTTGTGTTATACCGTCGCTTGCATCGCTTGGTGTCGGGGTTGCCCCCCCCCCCCCCCTGAGATGACACCTTCTTCTTTGTGTTCGCTTTTAATATCTGTTCACCTCACCAGTCAGTTACGCCATTATTTAGTGGTGCACTCACTCCTAAGAAAAATCCTGGTTCCGCCCCTGCAGGAACCAGGCCACTAAGAAGAAAACTGATCATGACCAAGGAAAAAGCTAATTGAAAGAAATGATGGTAACCTTTTTTCCAGCAATGCATCATGACAACCGTGACTATATCCACCAGCCTTTTATAACGTTTGACAGGAACGTGTTTGACGTAATATATCAAACATGAGAGAGAGTGTTTCATGGGGATATCCAAACACCGAGAAGAGAATTGAAAATACGACGCGCAGCGGATTATTTTTGACGAAATTCCCGGTGTTTGGATAGCCCATGAAACACAGTCTCGAGTGTTTCATTTATCTTCTCAATCAAAACAAAAACTAAGGTGTAAACGGAGAAGTAAAATCGTCAATATCTATGCTATAATTAAGACCGGGTATCCAAACCTCCTTCACGGTTGTGATTTTGTTCGTTTTAACGTGATGAATTATTAATGAGTTTCAAAAATAAATATACGAACTCTGGGTTTTGCCTCTATGTCAACCTCCAAAAGTGGTTTTAGGAATATCGTTTACTCAACTGAAGGTCACAAGAAACTTTTCAACACAGAAAAAATGTCCTTAAACCTAAAATTTAGAATAAAAAAACGTCTTTGCACATCCCCTCACTATAATAACCCCCTCACTTTGCACATCCCCCTCACTATAATAACCCCCTCACTTTGCACATCCCCCTCACTATAATAACCCCCTCCCTTTGCACATCCCCCT